CTCTCTCTCTCTCTCTCTCTCTCTCTCTTTCTCTCTCCCTCTATCATGTGTGGCAAGTGATGGACAATTGGGATGTGATGCCTGACTAGTGATAGTAATGCCATCAGTGGTAACAATACGATGAGTGGAAATGACATTTACTTGCATTCCTCGAGATCAGCCAATTGAGCGACGAGTCGGTCCAACTGGTCCTCCAGATTGGTCTTCAATTGTTGTGTTTCTGTGGTTCCCCTCGACATCACTTCAACTGATCCTCAAATCTAAATACAATTCAGATTTTATTTACCATTTAATCATAAATTTGTCACAATTTGTATCAACGGATCCAATATTACAGTTGTATTGAATCACATGTTTTGCGACAATAAATACGTTAACTTTTACGACACTTTTGTTTTAATTGAAAATTATTTATTCATTGATTTAATGATTTAAACCATTATAAGAGTTAAAACTAAAACATTATTTAAGTATAAAAATAAAAATTAATTGATTTTTAAATAAGAAATGAGAAAATAATTGCAACAAAACTGCACTAAAAGACACATATTTTATGGACTTTTCAATTGTTTTGATATTTATTTTTTGTGAAAAAATAATAAAAACAATATTTTAATCATTGAATTGACGGCTAATTGAAAGACATCTTCAGTGAAACGATGGAAAACAATGGTATGAATTGATTGTTTAAGTTTGTCTTCAATGATCTCATTTGCATGTGATTGAAGGCAACGCCGCAGACATTGTCTCCGAAAGCGATTCAATGGACGACAACAACCAAATGGACACAAATAGCTCTCAAGGTATTGAATGAATGTCTTTAATGGCAACTGATTTAACGATTGACTTGTATTGCAGATGAAACTGCAGACGAGCCCGAAGTGTCTTTGGATTTGGAAGCGCTAGAGATTGAGTTGAATCACTCGAAGATTCAGTCGATGGAAATCCTCAGTGTATTGACGAGAGCCGAGTGTTTGGGTCTTAGAAATAATGTGATTAAGAAGATCGAGGGTTTGAATCAATTGGTGACTCTTCGGGAACTCGAGTTATATGACAATCAAATCACTAAAATCGAGAATTTGGACGCTTTGGTCAACTTAGAGTGAGTTCATGGCCTCTAATGGTTGTGTTAATCATTTGACTAATTGTCTTCTTTTGGTGATAGAGTTCTTGATCTGTCGTTCAATCGGATCCGCAAAATCGAGAATTTGGAGAATTTAGTGAATTTGAAAAAATTGTTTTTAATTAATAACAAGATCTCGAAAATAGAGAATGTGTCAG